ACACCGTCTAGGCGAGAAGCACTTGCCATCTGCGCTATGTGCGAACACTCGCTGGCAACGACTGTCCCACATCAGATGAGAAGCCGCACGGCTGACAAGACACGCGATGGTGGGAAGGTGGCCGAGGGCAGCGGGGGAGGAGGGGAAGGCAGAAATCGCTGGAGCAAACTGAGGAAGCCCAGCCGAGGCTGCCCGGCCACAGGAGCAGACGCGGGGCACGCGGCGGCCACCCGCACGGGCAGGGTGGCTGCGCGCAGAGAAGCATCGTCCTCAGTCGTGCAAAACGCTTAAGGCAGCTTCACCTTGCAGGAGCCCGAAGCAACCTGAACCCTTTTTGTGTATTTGTTGAATTAACAAGTAGGAATCCAGCGCCCGATCACAGGCCGTGCGCTCTTCTAGACCGTGGGGACAGCGTGACCACAAAATCCCCGCCCTGCGGAAGCTGAATTTGGGCAATATGCCCATCAACAGTGGCCACAGCTAGGCCTCTCGGCGACGACAGGAAAGGGGTGCGTTTCCGTTACAGCAGCGGGCACGCACGCGGCGCACGTCCTTCCTGTTCCTAGACGTTCCACGAGTGCAGTAACGCTGCGCATGCGCGGATGGCGCATTGGGGGGGATGGGCGGCCCATCGGGCCCCCTGGGGGGGTAGCACGCGACGATTGCTCCCCGGAGGGCAAGTCAACGAGTTTGGTTTCGCCGTCCTTGCACTGGTGGGAGGCGGTGCTCAGACCCAGACGTAAGAGCGCCACGGAAACAGCGAGCACCTGATGACGGTCCCCATGGAACTAGGGCAGCAGAGGTCAAAGCTGCTGTGGAGGCTAAAGGGGAGGGGCTCGCACCGCGAGGTTTCACAGGGAGGGCCCGGGATGCAGGCGATTCCTGGGGACCTCGTCTGCTTCAGCAGGTGGGTTTCAGACTCTGAATTTGTCCACCACTGGTTTTGAGGGCCAAGCCCCCAGGGCCCTGCTGGTCCAGGAGGAGAGACAGCTGCCTGCGAGCGTCCTGGTAGGGTCCGGCCTTGGCTGCATCGTAGGTCTTCAAGGCCAGGAGGCAGGACTTCCCGAGAGCTCTGGCAGCCTGGAGGAAGGCCCTGGAGAAAGGCTGCCCTGCAGAGGCGGAGGGAGGCCCGAGGGAGGCCTCAGCCTTCACGCGCCCGGTGCCCACATCCACAACCTCGACATCAGTGTCCCCCCGCCAGGCTCCAGTTGAGGCTCGGGCAATGGCAGGCATTGAGGGTAGGATCCAAGGGGGCCGCAAGGGGCCCTGCAAACAGGCGCAGCATGGTACGGGCATAGGGAGGAGGCAGGCACGGCCCCAAGTCCCGGTCTAGGTTGGGCCAGGTGTGGATGGCCCTGCTCAGAGTTGGGGGGGGAGGGGGGTCGTGGCAGGGGTCGGCCAGCACAAGGCTGGTGGCGTAGAGGGGAGGCAGGAATTGGCGAGCAGGGCGCCACCCAGCCCCAGCACGACCCGGCGTGCCAGCTTGTCGCTGGCGGAGAGGCAGCCCGTGTGGGTGTCGCGCAGTGCGGGCGCTACTTAGCACGTGGGCCTCAGCTCCCCACGGATGTGGGCCTGCAGGCGGGAGGGTGGGCAGTGCGGGAGGCTGCCCTCTGCCGACGGTGGGCGGTAGATGTCATGAGCAGTCTCTTGGGGGTGTTTAGTGAAATTGACTCTTTCCTGCATTTCATCAAAGGTATTCTTAGGTGAAACTGGCTTTCTTTTTTTCTTCCTTTCCTTCCTTCCTTCCTTTCCTCCTTTCTTCTTTTCTTTTCTTTTTTCTTTCCTCCCTTCCTTCTTTCTTTCTTTTTCTTTCTTTCTTTCCTTTTCTTTGTTTTCTTTTCTTTCTTTCTTCTCTCTCTCTCTCTCTCTCTCTCTCTCTCTCTCTCTCTCTTTCCTCTGAGTACACAGTAGTGAAGAAGCCAATGCCTACTGGCCAGTTTAACACCATGGCCTTCATTTATGCTAAGGCACGAGCAGTTTTACCTGCTGTGATGGTTAATTTTATGCGTCAACTTGGCTAAGCTATGTTTCCCCATTGCCTCATCAAACACCAGTCTAGAGATTATTTACATGAGATTAACATTAAATCGGTGAACATGAAGTAAAGCCCATGACTCTCTATGATGTGGGTGGGCCTCATCCAATCAGTTGAAGGCTTACAAGAAGAGACCGAGGTCCCCTGGGGAAGAGGGAATTCTTCCTCCAGGCTGCCTTCAGACTCAAGCTACAGCATTCACTCCTCCCTGGGTCTCCAGCCTGCTGACCTGCCCTACAGATTTTGAACATGTTAGTTCCCACAATCATGTGAGCCAATTCCTTAAAATCTCTCTCTTGTGTGTGTGTGTGTGTTATCTGTATGTATCCATCTAATATACATTACATACGTTCGTATTATCCCGCCAAAGAGCATTGTTTCTCTCTCTCTCTCTCACTCTCTCTCTCTCTCTCTACACAGACACACACACCCTATTCTGTTTCTCTGGAGACTAATATACCTATTAATATTAATGCTTCTGCATCATCAATGCAAAGGTCAACTAAGTGAAAAAGGCAAAGAAAAAGGCATTAAGAAAATTGTTTTTGGGCGCCTGGGTGGCTCAGTGGGTTAAGCGTCCAACTTCGGCTCAGGTCATGATCTCGCGGTCCGTGAGTTCGAGCCCCGCTCGGGCTCTGGGCTGACAGCTCGGAGCCTGGAGCCTGCTTCGGATTCTGTGTCTCCTTCTCTCTCTGCCCCTCCCTGCTTGCACTGTCTCTTTCTGTCTCTCAAAAAAAAAAAAAATAAAATAAAATAAAATAAAACATTAAAAAATAAAGATAATAAAAAAAGAAAATTGTTTCGATGACGTGATCCTGGACTGTGAAAGCACTTGGCGTTCCCAGCGGTCCATGGCCCACACCTGGAAAACTGCTGTCCTCGCTTTTCGTCCTGACTTCTCTACAGTGTCAAATCTTCACCACGAGGCAAATAAATGGACTCGCTATCAAACCTGATCAGCAGGAAGAGCTCAGGGTCTGGGGGAAGAAGACAGGAGGGCCATCCTGGTGTGGCCCCTGAGTGCCTGGATTCTTAGGAGAAGCAGTTCCCAGAGCCTGGAGCTGCTCGATCACGGCCGTCTTCCTGACACCTTTTCCCCCGGGGGCCCTTGGTTCAGGCACTTTCTCTGATGGTTCTATTTGTGGGCAAATTGCTAACGATTCCTGATCCTTCTTTTCAGGTGTAACAGCCATGCATATTTGATTCCCATAAATTACGAGAATTGAGCCATCAGCGCATGGGAACAAAACAGGACGTGTTCTTCACCCCCTTTTTGTCTCCCCGAGACTCAGCAGGTGTGGGATAAAGCATGTGCCGTGCTGGGAGCAGACTGAGCCGGTACCTGCTCCCGCTGGCTGAGATCTCAGGAGAGCCTGGACCACAGCCAGGCCACCTCAGGACAAAGGAGAAAGTGGGGAAATGCCACAGTTGGTGGCAAAACCGTCTCCTCCCCCGAGGGAACTTGAGCATTCGAGTCATTAAATAAAGCAGCCCGCCTGGCAGTTGGCTTTGAGAAGCAATTCACACCACTGTAAATGGATTAGCGCCACGTAAGGCCTTCCACAGTTCGATTTCAATTATTCCGCATGGATTCTTCACGTCCAGGAATTGTTTTGAATGTCTCTAGAAACGCAGAAAGGAAATAACGTTTCTTGATTTGGGGCTCTGAAGAATGTTTCCCATTCTCGTTATTTTCCGTCTTTGCCTTAACCTCCCTTTAACGCCAGCTTGACCAGCTGCCCGGCTTTGGTGTGAGGAAGGGGACACGAGTGTATGTTCATAGGCATGTGAGGATGGAAATGCCGGGAGGACCCACGGAGGAGGGTCGGTGGCTGTCCTTGCCTGACACTCCCAGCTGGTGAATTCTGAAAAAAAAGGCCTGCTGCGAGACGAGTGGAAGACCCTGCCCCTGGACCCGCAGCGCAGGTCGACGTGCACAGTGAGGGATAGTGTTGGAGCATGCTTGCACCCAACGTGATTCTTTGTGCAACTAAGTGGCACAACGTGACATGGAATCTGCAGGGTAATTCTAGGGGTGATAACGGACTCTAGGTGCAACACCACTGGGGTGCCATCTTTTTCTCTGTACATGGCGCCCTGGTACAATTTTGCGCACACGCCATCCTTCAGCTCAGTGTGCAGGTGACCACCATTTGCTGCCTTTTCACACCAAGAGGCTTCGAAAGGCGGCAGAGAGATCAGCCAGAAAAGTCAAGTCCATCCCATGAATCGGAACGGGTGGGGGGTGGGGGTGGGGGTGGGGAAGAAAGTCTCTCCTTCTAATGTGGTGTTGGGGAGTGGGAGGCGACTTTCTACTTGCCCCTGGGGAAATCATGACCTCACAAACTTCATTTGTCCGAAGTGTTAGGAGGCGACAAGAGTTGAGCCATGGAGAGGAAAAGGAAGCCAACAAGGAAAAGAGCCCCGTTCAACCACAAGGGCTGGAAGGAGGCGCAGCAGACACTGGCGAAGCTCCTCCCCGTGTCAGGCCAGGGAACGCCCTCTGGATCTTACCGAGAGAGGCACGGCAGGGCTGGGGAAGGAGCGGCAGAGGAGGGGCCCGGCCAGAAAGATGCTGGAGCTGGATGCTCGACCTGCCTGCCCGCTGGTTGCTTGTTTACATCGCTGCAAGCAACATGGTCCTTGCATGGGAGGGGTGGGGGAGAACTGCTGATCTCTCTTCACTCACGCCTTTATTTATTTATTCCCCTTGCGTTCGCCATGCCAGTGCTCACCCCCAAATCTAAAACGTCCAGGTTTAAGCCAAGGTATTGGAAATGTTACTGAATGCCAGGGGTTACACAGAACCTGCAGCCTAAGTCTCGTTGGGCTCCCCAAGGAAGCGCCTGGCTCTGAGCTTCCTTTTAATAATTGAAAATCCCAGATGCTCCCTGTGGAAAGAGATTCATATACGCTGTGTGTCTGGGGGGGGGGGGGCGGCGGGGAGAGGTAAGGCTCGTGAAAAAGCAATCTCTCTCCAATTCGAAGTCTGAGTTCTTGATTTAAACAGAATTTGTTTTTCTAACCAGTTGGGAAGCGTCTCTCCGAGTTGGAAGCAGAAACTAGGATGTTTGCCCCACTCCCCACTTGAACTCTGCCCTCTGAATAAAAAAAAAAAAGTCACTCTTACTCATTTTCTAGCTTCAGACCAAAGGACAAGACGGAAAGAGCCCTCTGAGATGATATTTTCACATTTTTAAAATTCTTTCTCCTTCTTGAATGAACGCCATACTGGACAGCAAGGAGGTGCCCACACTCACCTGTGTGGACAGGTAAGGGGAGCCCTCTCTCTTTCCTGCATGTGAGACCCTGAGGAAGCATCTCCGAGATAGGGGGTGTCTCTCTTTTGTGGTTCAGGGTGAGACAAGGGCTTATATTTAGGCAGAATGGTGAGATGTGCCTGATTGATTTTGTTGTATATCACAGGGCCCACCCGCCTTCTAAGAAGAAAACAGGTGCCGGAAAGAAAGAAGCTGAACATTTGAGGGCCAACATGATAGTCCTGAGTGGGATTGTAATTCCCTGTGACTTTATAGCGGGTGTGAGGGAAGAGATAATGAGTGATATTCAGAGACAGAGTAACTCATTTAAAGTCAAAGACCCGTAAGATTTTATGATATCAACATTATAATAGGATGATGATAAAATAATATAATGCAAATACTGATAATAATAGGGTATGTACATGATAAAATAATATATTTTATTTTTGTACGCCAATCACAACTGTTAGCAGGATTCATTTTAAGTGTGTACTTAACCGCTAACGGAGTTGGACTTGCCGTAATCATTCCCATAAACACATAATGATAAATTACCTGTTCAGGAATAAAAATGTTGCAGTTTAAGGATGCATCTTTGCCATGGAAACTGCCCAAAGTCACTTTCGTTCCCCCTTTGGTATACTGACTCTGTGTATGTATGTGTGTTTTCTGTGTGTGTGTGTGTGTGTGTGTGTGTGTGTATTTCTCTAAACGGCAATTCTGTCCCAGGAGCATACCCATACTAAAATCTTTGAGTACTTTAAAAAAAAAAAAAAAGGTGATTCGGGTGCTCCAGAGATATTTTAAACTTTTTGTGTTATTAAGAAGTACAAATATTCCTGAAAACTGAAAAGAATCTGCAACAAATCTGATGGGGCAGAAGAAGGAATTCATCTAATCAAGTATTGTGGTTAAGGCTAAGTTATCAGATTTACACCCTACAAAGATGATCAACTTCTAGAAAATGCATATAATTTTCCAGTAATGCAAGCACATTAACATTCAGCTGAAACTCCATGAAATCTAAATTTTCCATAATGTTTTATTTGTTTTTTTAATGTTTTATTTATTTTTGAGAGAGAGGGAGAGAGAGACAGAGCATGAGTGGGGGAAGGGCAGAGAGAGAGGGAGACACAGAATCCGAAACAGGCTCCAGGCTCTGCGCTGTCAGCACAGAGCCCGACGCGGGGCTTGAACTCGTGAACTGTGAGATCATGACCTGAGCTGAGGTCGGATGCTTAACCGACTGAGCCACCCACGTGTCCCTAAATTTTCCATAATGTTTTAAAAGACAAACTCCTCTTTGTCTCTTCCTGGCATCACTAAACTCATAGTTCTCAACCTTGCTTGGATCTGGGGCTCATTTGAGCCTCTGATAAAATCTATGGGCCTTCTCCCCCCAGAAACCCAATTTAGACACAAATTTGGCGAGTTTGTAAACCCCCTGAAGCAGACCCATGGATAATTTAGAGAGTTAAGAACCCTAGACACATTCTTTGAACAAATATTTATCAAACACCTACTAGGTCCCAGCACATTTCCAGGTGCCAAGTAGTCCAAAGTCTGGGATAAAATGGTCCCTGCCTTCAGGGAGAACAAAGACAGTATGTGGATAAGCAAATAAGACACAAAATCGTTTCTGACCATGTGGACCATGCTGATTTTCTGACCATTACAAAAGTCACCCAGCCCAAGGTGACTCATGTCCCAGGAGCATGTTATGATATTATAATTTTCGAACTTTTATAATTAACAGAGTTTTGGTGGAAGAAAGCAGCATTTAAATACCAGGGCTTCCTCCATGCCAGCAGACTATTATTATTCTGGATTAATAGACTTTTTGAACTGAGCAGGACTCCCACCACCACCTCTGCTCCTCCCTGGTACTCGCAGGGAACCCAGCCCCATAGACTCCTTCAGAATGGAACCAAGAGAAGCAGCTCTACATGGCCACCAACGCCTAGTTGTTAGATGGGTGTCTTTACTTACGACAACCTGACATTTGACTTTTTGTAATTCCAAACGAATTATTCCTAAATTCCTGGACAAGTTGAGTCTAATCCATTCTCCTACAGATTCTCCCATAGATCTTTTATCCAGGTGAAACACTCACAGTTTCTACAGTAATTTCTGAACAAGTCAGTGTTCCTTGCGTACTGGTCTGCTAACTTAAAGCCCAGGAGAAGAACTTTGCAATAAGGAACATTCTGTGACAATCACCACGACTGGCACATGGCATTTTATTTATATTAAGCCTCACGTTGCATTTGGTTAATTCAGCACCCACTGGGGCCAGGGAGCTCTTCATTAACTGAAACCACCTAGGCTTTCCTATTAATCAAAGTCCTCTCTATTTTATGTCTTTATTTTTCTGTTTTTCTTTATCTAGCTTCTTTAATTGAATGCTTAATTCATGCTTGTTAGTCTTATTTTCAATAATAGCATTTAGGGCTATAAATGTGTACCCAAGTACGGCATTAGCTGCATCTCATAAGACCTATGAAGCAGAGTTCCAGTGTTGTCCCAACTCGTTCATAATTTCCACTGAGATTTTTCCATTAATGAAAAACTTTTTTAAAGAAAAGTGTGTGTTGTTATCTGAAAATATTCAATTGTTTCATAAGGAAAACGATCCGAATGTGCATGTGCGTGTGTGTGCGCACGTGCGTGTGTGTGTGTATTTCTGTGAGCAGTGGTGCAGTCCTTTGAGGCTATACCCATACTAAAACCTTGGAGTGCTTTGAAGAAAGAGATAATTCAGGTAGTCCAGAGATCATGTGGCTTTTCTTAGGACACTCACAAAAGAGTTAAACATAGATCTTAAGTAAGCTTTTAGTTTATGAGATTGAGTAAAATCATATGGCAGGTTAAATATAGGTCATGAATATTCAAGTATATTGAAGTAGCTTGTGAAATACAGTAAAATCAATAGGTGTGTTACATATAGAAAGGAAGGTTAGTAACCTGTAAGATATATCAAGGTTAGATAGAATAAATCCTTAAAATATGACATAATAAAGTAGATGCTTTATTAGGTCATGATCAGGCCACCTCTGGGCAGGTAACTGTGTTGCCCCCAGATTTGGCCAGCCATCAGTGACACCCATGGTGATCTCTCCACAGCCCCGATGTTCTGCCTGAGGAGCACAGATGAAAACCACAACTTCTCGACAGTCTGCCTAGTGAGCTGCGGCCAAGTCAAGCCTCCTTGCCCCTGTGTCTCTCCAAGGAAGAGATATCAGGTGCCAGTGACCCAGGGAAGCTTCCATTTGTGGAGCCCCTTCTTCAAAACTCGGCCCCAGTCCTCATAACAGCATCCTTGGGGGGAAGGTTGATGCAGCAGGGAGAGAAACAGGACCCATGAGCACCGTGTACCTAGGACTCAGGAACTTCACCTGCTCTGAAGTGTGTTAACTTACCCTTCCTCTCTCCCCTCACTTCCCTCCGTGTGACTTAGGTTGAGTTTAATAAACTGTGTGATTCAAGCATCTGAATACGGCCCGTGTTCCTTTCTGTTGCATCATCCCTGGGAGGGCCCCCCTAACAGTGTACTTAGGATCAATGGTTGCATCAGGGCAATTTTCTACAAAGTAAGGTTTTGGGGGGGGTTTTAATTTCCACTTTGATTTCATCCCATTGCCATCTGAATAGTATTCGTTATTTTGTATTTGTTGAAGACTTTTCTCGGTGATTTCATGCAGGACCCTTGTAAATGTTCTACATGAACTTAAAAAGAATGTACAGCCTCCATTTTTTCAGTGCAAGCATATATATTTTTTCCAATCCACTGTGTAAAATGGTATTTTTCATACTGTTTATAACATTACAACCTTTTATTCTGTTCTATCAATTTCTGAGAGAGTTATCTTAAATTTTCCCATTAAGATTACGCACAGGTCTGCTTCCTCTTGCGGTTTCCTGGATTAGAGACATAGATGAGTGAGTGCACTAGTCTGACAGTTTGCCTTTTTCATATATCTTAAGCCACACATTTTTCAGACATGCACAGGCTTGTGGCTGCTGCGTGTTCTCAGGAAAATGTTGGTTTTATCCTTACCGCATAATTCTTCATCTCTAATGACCCTTTTTAAAATTTCATTTATTATTGATTGATGGATTGGTTTTTATTAAAAAAAAATTTAAATCCAAGTTGGGTGTCATAGCGTAATAGTGATTTTGAGAATAGAATTTAGTGATTCATCACTTACATAGGACACCCAGTGCTCATCCCAACAGGCGCCCTCCTTAATGCCCATCCCCCATCTAGCCCCTCCCCCACCCACCTCCCCTCCAGCAGCCCTCAGGTTGTTCTCTGTATTGAAGAATCTCTTATGGTTTGTCTCCCTCTCTGTTTTTACCTTATTTTTCCTTCCCTTCCGCCTATCTAAGGACACTTTTTGCCTTAAAGTGTATTTTGGTGAAATGACAGCACCTGCATTGGCTTCCTTTAGGTTAGTACTGACTGCACATCTTTTACTGCTCTGCGCGTTTAGTCTTTCTCCCGCGTTCTATTTAGGTACGCCTTTTTCAACGTCATCAACTTGAATTTTAAAAAATCCATTCCCTTATTTGTCGTCTTTTAGTGAGGACACATAATCCTGCTTTATAATAAGTTAAGCCATATGCAGTTACTAATATTTAGATATTCTTACTTAAAATAGGGCCATCTTGCGGGGCACCTGGGTGGCTGAGTCAGTTAAGCATTCGCGTCTTGATTTTGACTCTTGATTTCGACTCTTGATTTCGGCTCAGGTCATGATCTTGCAGTTCATAGGTTCGAGCCCCATGTCCGGCTCTGTGTTGACAGTGTGGAGCCTGCTTGGGATTCTCTCTCTCCGTCTCTCTCTCTCTCTCTCTCTGTGCCTCCCCCACTCACATTCTCTCTCTCTCTCTCTCTCTCTCTCTCTCTCTCTTTCAAAATAAATAAACTTAAACAAAATGGTGATCTCATAATATTCAACCTAATATTTATTGTGATCTCTTTCTGCCATCCTATGCTCTGTTTATCCTGCTTTTTTTCTTTGATTATTTTTTTCCCTTTCTTGCCTTTTGTTGCATTGATTTCTTCAAGTTTTCCTCACCAGCACTTTAAAAAAAATTTTTTTAATGTTTATTTATTTTTGAGAGAGAGAGAGAGACAGAGCATGAGAGGGGGAAGGGCAGAGAGAGAGGGAGACACAGAATCCAAAGCAGGCTCCAGGCTCCGAGCTGTCAGCACAGAGCCCAATGCGGGGCTCGAACTCACGGACCATGAGACCATGTCCTGAGCCAAAGTCAGAGGCTCAACCGACTACGCCACCCAGGCGCCCCTTGTTTTCCTCAACAGCACTTAATCCCCATCTGTTAGGAAGTCAGAAATTGCTTTCTGTTTTGTGGTTGTTGCTCTAAAATTGGTAACACCTTAGCTTTCCTGTAATTCTAACAAAGTATAGAATTTCAGTCTCTCCCACTTCAGTAGCTCTATCCCACCCCTTCTTGCGAAGGTTATTTTCTCTATTATTGCCTAGCTTGAAATCCACATCGATCAACATTAAAAATTGGTGGGCGCACCTGGGTGGCTTAGTCAATTAAGTGTCCAACTTTCGGTTTCAGCTCAGGTCATGATTTCACAGTTTGTAACTTGGAGCCCTGCATTGGGCTCTGTGCTGAGAGTGTGGAGCCTGCTGGGGATTCTCTCTCCCTCTCTCTCTCTGCCTCTCCCCCACCCAAAATAAACGAACTAAAAACATGGCTGTTTTCACAGCTCAGTGTGAATCCATTGTAGGCATGCCGTCTCGCACCTTCTGTGCACACTTGCAGCCCAGGCTCTCCCCATTCACTTTTGTTTTGCCAAACGTATTTTGTCGTTGCTCCTTCAGCTAGGATCCGCACGAGGGGCAACACCTTCACTCTGGAAGGGAGGCTGAGGAATGCAGTCTTTGTTCAGGACACGCTGGGCCCACCTGATACCTGCGGAAGAGGAGGAGGAGGAGCCTGGGAGGTGGCCGACAAAGTTGTCACGGCCCTGCTGTGTCGATTCAGTGAATGGAAGGAGAATAATCTTCATTCCGGAGACAGAAACCAACACCTTGAAGATTGCTTCCCTGCTCATCTGAACGAGTAAAGAATAAAGCCTACAAGAGCCGTGCGTTTCCCTGGGAACCCCAAAGATTCAGCTACGTGCATCACGGAACGAGCTGTTTGGGCAGCAGAGGAACATCACAGCATCAAGCCTAGTGGTTGCTCCGGCCCTTGAACTTATGGGATCACCCTCCCCGCCCAAAGTTGTATGCTGAAACTCCAATCCCCAGAACGACTGCACTTGGAGATGGGGCCACAAAGGAAGTAATTGAGGTTAAAGGAGGTCAGGAGGATGACCCCTGATTCCACAGGATGAGTGTCCTTATGAGAGGAGACATCAGAGAGCTTGCTGGTTCCCTCTGTGTGTGACACATGTGGAGAAAAGGCCACATGGGGACGGAGTAAGAAGGTACCATCTGAAAGGTACCATACTTTCCTCCAGAAAGAGAGGCCTCACCAGAAAGCTAATCATCCAGCACCTTGATCTTGGACTTCCATCCGCCAGCACTCGGACAGAATCCATGTCTGTTGTTGAAGACCCCAGGTCACGGTACTTCGTTATGGCAGCTGGAGCAGACCGACACCTGAGGTCACAGCAGTCTTGTCTAGAAGCCCCTGGAGAGCACTGGGACCCAGGCCTGATGTCAGAGGCACAGCCCAGCTTCTCCCTGCCGAGAGCATCTTTGAAAGCAGGCCTTAGCCATGGCGCTTCCAGTGTGTGTCAGGAGAAACGTGGCGTTCCACAAGCTGGGGAGATAGCTCTGGAGGCTCCTGTTGGGACCACATGTTATTTGTCTGGATTACACCACACAGCACGGCACCCAATGCCCAGCAAGAGAAGGAGTGCGTGTTGGGATAGACGAATAATGGCAGACTGAACAGGTCCCTGAGGTTGGCAGGAAAGAGATCTCTATCCCCTGGGGATAGATGGGGTACCGCGCTGCCACAGATAGCTCCCCCAGGATCATGGAGCTGGCCAGCCGCTCTTTGGGATTAGATTCTAAATCCCGGTTGACTTTTCATCTCTACGCTGTGATGGGGGTGAGGACTGCCCGCAGAAAGAACAGGTGCTGGGCAAGTGACAACCAGCCCCTGTGTCCGCTGGTCCCATGATGAGCTGAGTCACCTTGGAGGGAGTCAGCCGCCTCTGCACCCATCTGCTCTGGCCTGTAGAGAGCAAAGTGGTTGCACAGGTGACGGCCAAGGCCATTTTCAGCCTGGATATTATTGGTCTGTCCCGAAATAGAAATTAGCGAATTTCCCTTGGATGTGCTTTCTAAAGTGGATTCTGTTAGCCAAACACTTCACAGATGGTCAGGTCCACGCGGAACCTCACAGGGCTTTGATGTAAAGGAGCATGCATTTTTTTGTCACTTACGTAAATTAGATCATCTTGGCTTGGACATCAGAGAGTCATTTGAACTGCCAGCTCTACCCTCTCCATTAGAGATCCGATGAGTATTTGAAATGCTCCCATCATTTAGGAGACTGGACGTGCAATGGAGGTGGGCCCGGGGCTGGGCCTGCATTCACGTCAGGCTCGGTCCTGTGATGTGGGCAGAGCAGTTGCCTGGGTTTTGTCCTAAGTGGAGAGGATTGGAGGGAGTAGGTAGTCACAGAAGGAAAATTACAATCCTCTGTTTCTCACTCGTCTCTCTGCTCACTGCTTCATTAAAAAGAAATGAGGGGCACCTGGATGGCTCAGTCGGTTAAGCGGCCGACTTCGGCTCAGGTCATGATCTTGCGGTCCGTGAGTTCGAGCCCCGAGTCGGGCTCTGTGCTGACAGCTCAGAGCCTGGAGCCTGTTTCAGATTCTGTGTCTCCCTCTCTCTGACCCTCCCCTGTTCATGCTCTGTCTCTCTCTGTCTCAAAAATAAATAAACGTTAAAAAAATAAAATAAAATACAAAGAAATGAGTAGGCATTGGCTGGGTGAAAAGGAAGGAAGAGAGTTCTTCCGTTGGACAGAGGCCTTGAGGTAAAAGGCGAGCAGCAGCATATTTCGGGGATGGAAATGTGAGCAGCGTCGTACCTGAGTGGGTGCACGCAGGCAACACACCCCTGCACGGTGAGAAGCGGAAGTCGGGCGGGCTCAGCCCCTGCAGCCTGCCAGCAGTCTGTCTGTGCCTTACAGGTAGTCCGAGGTGCACGGCCGGCTCACGGTCAAGAAAAGTCCCCGTGGCTGCTCTGAGGATTTCAGGGCTGCCAGACTGAGGGGCAGGAATCATTTAGGAGATGGTGGAGCAATCCCCATGAGAGATGGTGAGTTTCCAGGACAAGGGGACACGGCATGAGCGAGAGGAAGGCACTGGGAGTGACTCTGGAGCTGGTTGGAGAGCTAGCGGGTTAGCAGGGTCATTCACTGGCAGTGGGGGACTCAAGGACGGGGAGGTAGGCGGTTCCATTTTGGAGAAGTTGAGTCGCAGGCAAGGGCC